GCAAGTGACTGAGATTTTGCACAGATGTCCCTATGTTCTTCGGGAGGACCCGGGTGAGCTGGAATACAAATTTCAGGTGAGAGTGGCAGAGTGACTGGAGGACCCACAGCGGACTCTGGAATGTAGCAGGGTCAGCTCTGTGGGTAAGAAGCATGGGATACCCCCCTGGCCAAAGAACCTGGTTTTGGTTCTTTCACGTCCATACAGGTGAGATGGATTCTGCAGCTTTTCTGTATTAACCATGAGTAACCCTACCCCATTCTCAGAGTCTGAGTGGGGCCTCTGTTTGAAATAGCTAATTTAGAAATAGGTAAACCTTCCTATCTTTAGAGCTTGTTTTGCATGTTGATATCAGAAATGATTATGACACCTGTCCTAATTTTTTTGGTAAACAGTTATGATGACTTAGGTCAAATCTCTAGGTGTTTCCTGATTCATTGTTTTCTTCCCCCATCTAAAGAGAAATAGAACTCCCGCTCTTTATTTCCTGCAACAAGAATTTGAAAATGCTTTGGAACTTGTCAGCCATCATGTAGATGTGGGTGCCAGAGGGTGCCCTGTCTTGTTGGTTAGATGCGCTTCCTGAATGCTTTTGCACAGTTGAGTTTGCTGTGACTGGGGAAGAACAGGTCTGAGGACCCTCCCTGAATCCTAACCTGCCTGTGTCTCCAGTATGCCTACTTTAGGATGGGGGTGAATCACTCGGATATGGTGAGGACCGACTTCCTGCAGTACTCCATCACCAAGATCAGGCAGAGACACACGTTCTTGGAGCGCCTAGGACGGTACCAGACCCCGGATAAGAAGGGGCAGACGCAGATCCCCAACCCTCTTGTCAAGGACATTCTCAGAGTTTCAGAAGCTGAGTTTCTGTCCAAGACGGCCTATTCTACTGCTGAGGAGTTTGAAGTTTTTAAGAAGCTCCTGGCTCGGGAGGAGGAAGAGGAATCTGAGAGCCACATGTCTGGTGACAAAAGCACTAGTGAGGAAGAGGAGGAGGAGGAGGAGGAGGAGGAGCTGTGATAGAAGGCCCAGAGACATTAAAGGACATTTTAGTTCTCTCAGAGCTTTTGGAGCTTCACTTGGACCTTCTCAGACTATTTTTCATTCTAAAACTAGTGTTTTGATGAAAAATTATTATAGATCACCTGAGAAGTAGGTCAGACTGAGTTGGAGGGTTAGTTTGATTTGTTGTCAAGTCTCTGGGGAGAGCCCTGCTCCATCGAAAATAAAGACTGTCAGCAGTTGGAATTGGGAACTCAGTGCATCGAAATTTGGTTTTATTTTCTCTCATAGCTGTGGGTGATGTTCCATGACAGTGTGGGAGACAAGGATCTTTCTTCTGGTTCTAGTCATTTTACATTTCCTTCTAGTGGTAAGGATACAATTATGAGAATGCAGGGAGGCTTTAGTACATCATAGCACTTTATTTTATGAAAACAAGTAGCAGGTTTTCCACAAAAATACTCATGTTTTTAATCTAAAAATATTACTTCATAGTTGCATTCAGTGTACAGCAGAGTAGGGGGAAGTGGGTCAGTTTGGCTTCATTTTGCACAGGTTCTTCCTGCCAGCACAGTGCTGGGCACTTCTCTCTCTTGTGAGGAGCAGGCCCTGGCTCTGACCTCAGGGAATTTGGCTTTCATGCCTGCTCATGGCCAGCGGGTCATGTCAGGGCCTGATGTCTCTAGCAGGCAGCAGTGCTGACCTGGGGCATGCCAGAAAAGGGGCCATGGGGCAGATACAGTCCGGCATCCCCCATCCTTTTAGGGGGCTTTGGAGGCCAGAGGAGAAGAGCACGTGAACACAGCCAGGGGCCAAGGGTCTGGTGGTTGTGCAATCCAGGAGCTCTTCGTGACACCCAGGGGGAGGAAGTCCCCTAGGGAACCCAGTAGGTCTAATCAGTGACTTGAAGCGTTGGGCCAGAGGCCCAGACCTGAGGGCATGAGCTCTGTGATTGGGGGGGCGGGTACATCCTAGGATGTTCTGGGCACCCCTTCTTTGGGCTAATGCTGCAGAGAATAATTTTGGTGATGTGACCAGAGTGTAGGCTGGCAGCACTTAGAACCTTTAGGCTCCCAGCTCTTTCCTGCAGACCATGTGAGAATCCTGTCAGGCCTTGTTCTCACCCTGGGCCATCCTGACCAGGGAACATCTGGGGACATTTTTGGTTGTTAGGACCAGGAGAAGGAGCAGTTGGGACCCAGTGGGTTGAGGCCAGGGCTGCTGTCAGATGCCCTGCTGTGCACAGGACAGTCCGCACAGAATGACCAGCCCTAATGTCTCTGGCTGAGGTGAAGAAACAGCTCTCAGGCTTGGGCCCGCAAAATATGACCGTATCGCCTCATGAGAACCTCTGGTTTTAAATGGGCTTACATTTGTTGTATTTATTTTATTTAAAAGGAAAGTAAATCGATTTTAAAGAGAGTTCCTTTCCCTGTGCACTGGATTTCAGTTGGCTGACTTGAGCTTTATTTTACAAGGGAATTCAGTGCTGAATCAAAACAATCGTGCTTTTGCTTTCTCTTGGCTCCGGGACTGCAGAGAGAGGCACTGTGTGCAAAACAAGTAGCTCAGGGAACCTCTGGACATGTGAGCCAGACATCTGTGGCCCTGGCTGGCCAGCGGGAGGCGGTCCAGCAAAAGGAAGGTGTTGGAGCTCGGTGACATGAAGTGGCCCTTGACTGCTGAACTCCCTGGTGGCGAGTCGCTCCGTTTCCTCTGTGACCGCCATGTGCAGTGGGGAAAGGGGACATTCTGTCTTTACTGCCTTTCTTGGCCAGAGACAAAATTTTTGAAAAAGAAAATACTTCACCACATGCCAGTGTTTTCACTTACTCTCCATTTTGTGGTGTCCAAGTGACCAGCATGTTCCCTGGAGCCTACAGTGTGGTTTTTGTGCCCAGTTAGGAGACACAGTGGAACCCTAAGTCTAATTGGATGGTCAGGTCACCCAGCCTGGTCAGCAGGTGGCTAACTCTGCAACTCAAGGTTGCTCCCCTGTGATTTTGACACAGAAGTAAATGTTGATGCCCTGACAGTTTTCTGATCCAGTATTATTAATTTCTTTGGATGGACATTGAGTATTTTCAAGGAAGAAGAGTTTTACGAAGGAGCCATGTGGAAGCTCGTTTGGAGTGTTTCAAGGATGATTTGTAATTTCCTTTAGTGTCAGGAAGTCTTTGTATTAGGTATTTAATTTGTACAACATCAAAATGGGCTAATTGTAAGACCACACGGCACTAAGCCCACGATTCAGTAGACTTGTAAAAACAAATGTTTCTGAGCTAAAATCGAGCACGTCTGCCTCATGGCTGAGGGGCTTGAGGTCATTAACATGGTCACAGAAAGTTTCATCTGCTTTTCCAGTGATGCCACTTGGTCTTGTCATTTGCTGGTGATGCTGTAGCTTATGTGGACACACAGTGACAGGTCGCAGTGCCGCAGCAGGAGTCAGCGGCATGTGTTCATGGTCATGGTTTTCTCCTTCACCCAGGGTTGGAGCCCCTTGGTGGAGCTTGTGCCTTCAGATGGCCCTGAGACTGGGAGCGCAGTAGAGATTTCTGGGAATGACTAATCTCCTTTCTGAAAATGACAAGTATACTACACAGACACATATACACACAACTTTAATAAAAAAAAAAACCCACTCTAAAATATACTCTAATTCTTTAAAAAATGTTTTGTAAAGATGAGAGGAAGGAGCTCTTCCTATGGCTGCAAAACTGACTTGGGAGTGTCAGTGAAGACGCACCGGGGCTCTGGTTCCAGTTGGGTCGGCTGTTAAAGTGCCCAGCAGGTGGAGGTGGGCTGGCTTCTGTAGTGGCCTCACTTGCAGGGAGGAAAGCTGTTCAGAAGGCTCTGGAATGCGGTGTGGCGATGATGCGCAATGCTGGGAGCTGTTTAGTGTGGAGATGGTGCTTGCTGCCTGGTAGTCTGAAACTGTGTTGCCTGAGTTGTGGATTAAAAGGATCTTAAACATTGTTTGGCCTTACCCGCCCCAGATGCCTGTCTTCGTTACTCAGACCTATAAGGAGGAGCCCTGGCCACCGCCAAGTGCCTTCCCAAACAGGGTTTGTGTAGCAATTCCATGACACTCGGGTGGGTCTTTGGTGCCATGCTGTAACTTGTCGTCTGGGATGGCTTTCTCTGCATCAGGCCGAAGCCTGAGTGGAGTTAGCCACATACGGTCAAGGGGAAGTGGCCCCCAATTTTGTAAATCAAGTTTTATTGGAACAGCCTCACTGGACTAGGCACATGTGAATGGCTGTTTTTGTGCACAAGCGCAGGGCTAAGTTGTTGCCACAGAGATCACCCGGTCGACAAAGTCAAAGATATTTCCTGCCTGACCCTTTCTGGGAAAAGTGGTAGACTAAAAGTGTCTAAACTCCAGCTTAGTATGGTATGAACATTTTCTCTTTCAGAATCTGCTGGTTGGTGGATGGATCACTAGCCTTCACCTCCCTTCGTAAATGACCTGCTGGGGAGGTGAGCCTGCTTCCCTGTGCCCCTCATCAGTCTGCACTCCTTGCCTCCCAGCCCCACCCTCTGCTCTGCAGGTTGTCGATGGCAGCTCCTCCTCATTTTGGCTCTTGGGTTTCAAAGGGAGAATTCTTTCTCTGATTTAGAATCTGGAACTAGTTTCTGGATGTTGCTGAGGCTTCATCCAGTGCTCTCTGCACATGGTGGCTGCTCGTCAGCGATGCAGGCCACCCTGGAGAAACTTCCAGCCCTGTGCTGGAGGCAGTGTGGGACTAGGAGGTGTCTGTCCTAGAGGACCTCCCTGGCTGGACCCGTCTGGCCATCTGTCTTCTAGAAGCCGGAGGAGCGAAGCCACAGAGGGGACAGACTCCAGCCAGGACCCTGTCACTCAGGGTGTTCTTGTCAATTCAATTTAGACCTCATCTTCCAGGGCTTTAGAAACTTGTGAGGTTGGTGGATTATAGCAAGAATGTCCAGAATCCTTTGAAGAAAACAAAAAGGGGGGGACATGAGGAGAATGGTACCCTTATCTCTGAGACGGTGACTTCTCATCTCGCTTAGTGCCTTCGGTCGCTGCCCAGGCCCCATGTTGCCACATCAGAACTGTGAGGTCCTTGCCCTCTAATGTGGCCGTACACAGAGTGGGGCAGGTTTGTTGAGGACTGTCCATGTCCTCTGGGGTAGGGACCTTTCGGCAGCATCACAGGCTGCTCCGCCTTTCGGTGATGCCCTTGATCTTTCCTTGCAGGCATGCTGCCCCATTACTCTGGGTTGAAATGAGTTCTTATGTGGTGGCTTTGGGTGTGTGACTGTGTCTGTGTATTTCTGTGTCCTGTTGGTTGGTGTTTTCTCCATTGTTTCAAGAATTAGTATTGTAAAAGCCAGTATTTGATAATTAGTGGAGTGTTTCTGATTTGTTTTTAGAGAAATGGATTTGTTGAGCAACTTTTTAAAACATATATTATTCTTTCAGGCGATTTATTGCAATATAAATATTTGAAACCCAAATCATATTTGTGGGTTCTTGATCCCAGTACTGAATTGCTTGCAGGGCTTGCAGTATGTGTTTTGGATACGCATGTCTTTGGAGCCTGCGGTGGGGGGTGATGCCTTTGAGTGACTTCACATCTGATGGGACGGCAGCTGGAGGCCATGGTTCTCTCATGGCACTTCCCAACTGCAGATCCCTGCCTGGGTAGTGTGAGCTCACAACTGCAAGGCTCTTTCGCTTCTGGTTGTTGGTAAAGGTCTCTGAATAACATTCCTCAGCCATATTGTGACCATGGCTTGTGTGAAGCTGCGTGTACCCGGAGCACCAGGTCCCTCTCCTACCACATAGGCAATGGGCTATTTGGCTCGTTGATGGAGTGAGAGCAGTGAGCTGTCCCAGGCCACCAAGTGACATCATGTTGACAAGAACCTGAGGTCAGTGGGAAGCTTGGTATCTTTCAAATGACTGTGAAGACTTGGGCCGCTTACATGTGGGGAGGTGGAGCCCCAATAGGGTTTGGGAAATGTTAGGTGAAATCAAAGTCAGGAAGCTTCTTTCATCTCAAGGTTTCTGAATGCTCCTAATCACTCTCTCAGTGACAGAGTCTTTAGGACCTCAGAAGTTGTGACTAAGGCCCCACACCCTGTTTTTTCTTTCAATAGGTGGCCATTTACAGGGTCTGGAAAGCACTCCCCAGCCCCTAGCATTCCTGTGTCCCCCACCCTGTTTCTTGGTTCCCTTTGAGACAAAGCAGTTTGTCTTCCCTGCAGAGAGCCTCATTTCTACCTGAAGACGTATCTGTCACAGGTTTGTCTACTGGGAGGCCTTATGTACTCTTTTTCTCACCCAGCTCCCTCGGAATTCTGAAGCCTGGTCTAGGCTTTCTAACAAGAGCCTTCCTGTAGCTCTCCTAGCTGCTGCGAATGTAAGTACGTACCTAGTACCTACGCTGTCTTCAGTGTTGCACTGTTACTTTGTTTCCTGAAAGAAATAGAGAAGGTGGTTTATGAAAAGAAATTGTGGATCTGTGACCTTGTGATACCCTCCACCCAGCCGCCTGCTGCCACCCCTTTTCTTTAGCTCACACACCAGTGTGCCCGATGCCAAGGATAGCATTTCAGTCTGTATGTCCCTTCCCACTCAACTGAATGGCTGGGTGATTCATGCAGCATAAGGGGGGTGGGTAAGGGGGGCAGTGGGGAGCCTGACCTACCGACGGGGAGACAAGGACACACTCGCACCAGCAGCAGCTTTTGTGAATTGTCATCCTGTTTTTCCTGAACACAGTGATGCAGACCCCGTGTGTGTGGTTATTGGGGGTCTGTGAAGACTGTGCCTAGGCTCTTTTGAAAGCATGTGATGTACTCAGTACTGTATGTACTAACTAGAGGCCCAGTGCATGAAATTCGTGCGGGGGCGGGCGGGGAGGAGGGGAGTGTCCCTCAGCCCAGCCTGCACCCTCTTCAATCTGGGACATCCCTCTCACAATCCGAGACTGCTGGCTCCCAAACGCTCGCCTGCCTGCCTGCTTGATTGCCCCTAACTGCTTCTGCCTGCCATCCTGATCACCTCCTAACCATTCCCCTACCGGCCTGATCGCCCCCAACTGCCCTCCCCTGCCATCCTGGTTCCCCCCCAACAACCCTCCCTCCCCTGCAAGCCCAGTTGCCCCCAACTGCCCTCCCCTGCTGGCCTAGTTGCCCCTAATTGGCCTCTCCTGCTGGCCTGGTCTCCCCTAACTGCCCTCCCCTGCTGGCCTGATCGCCTACAACTGCCCTCCCTTGCAGGCCGTCTTGTGTGAGGATGTGATGTTCAATTTGCATATTACCTCTTTATTATATAGGATTATTGTGACTACCTTGAGCCCTTTAGGGAAGGAACCTGGTGTGAGAGGGTAAAAAGTAAACAGAGACTTGCTGTATTTGCAGTTATGTACTTGGACCTGTCCTAATGCTTCCCAATTTGAGCACCAGATACTGAGTGCACATGCATGACCAGAGTCACCCCTCACAGCCCCAGCACCCACCCTGTGACCTCCCCACAGCACCCACCCTCTGACCACCCCAGCACCCACATGCCTAGCTCCTCCTGTCTGGGGTGCTCACATGCACATCTGGGCAGATATACAGCCTGGCTCAGCCCCAGGCCTGTTGTATCCACAGTGCTCAGTCCCCTTGCCCGTGGCCCTGTGAGCCACAGCAGGACAAGCAGGGCCTCCTCTTGAGACGCACCTGCTTGGGGTTTTCTTGATGCTTGTGCTCTCACAGCTCTCTTTGAAGCAGATATCCTGGTGTACCTTGTAGACCCGTTTATACCTGTCACAAGAAAGCTCCATCAAGGCAGGAACTGGAGCAGAATGGTGCCCAGCTGGTTCACCTAGGCTACATGGAGACCAGATAACCATGCAGGTGTTTGAGGGAAAGGCCATTATTTTCTTAATAAAACTTTACCTTATAGGGGCATATTGAAATGTCCCACATAAAAGTCATGTAATTTTTAAAATTAACTTTACCAAGGCATAGTTTACATAAAATAAGACACATCCATTTTAAGTACATTTTGAGGAGTGTTGACAGTTATATGATATCAAGAGAGAAAATGTGAAATTTAAAGGACATATCTTGCTTGAGGCAGGCCACTTGGCCCAGTGGCCTTGAGATGCTATGACCCACTTCTCCATTGATGGGCAGTTCACTGTGAGAAACCTTGGAGATGCAGGCATTAGATGTGAACAGAGTGGAACAGGAGAGCTGACTTCATGCTCCACCTAGCATGTCTCTGGAACTTAAGCCTCAGTTTTGTGTAAAATGGGAATAATTCATATTACCTCTCTCTCAGGTTTATAGATGACAATGAATGGAAAGGACTTTGGTTCTTTTTAAAACTCTCAAACATCACACCTGTGGAAGAGAGAGCCAGGGAGTTGGATGGGCACAGCTCCAGCTCATGTGCTCAGTCTAGGACAGTGGTCAGCAAACTGCGGCCCCTTGAGTGTGGCTCTTCCACAAAATTCCACATGCGGGGTGCGATTGAAACTTCGTGGTCACACTCAAGGGGCCAAAGAGCCGCATGTGGCTCGCGAGCAGCAGTTTGCCAACCACTGGTCTAGGAGAGCCATTGGGAGTTAAGGCCTTTGGTAAGACTTTGGCCATCAGGGAGTAACAGGATCAGGAACTACCTCCCAATGCAAACAACCAGAGAACTGGACAGAATATAAGAAGTAGCTTTTTTCCAGATATTAGAAAACAGAGCAAGACTGTGATCCCTGAGAGAAGGGAAATGAATGAGATGAGTCCTGTGGTCACCCTGGAACTCATTCTGGAGACACTTTTTGGACTTCGTGTCAGGTCAGGGGATCCAAGCAGTGGTTGCAAGTTGAGGAAACAGGTTGGAGTTGGGAAGGCAGAGGCAGTGGGACCGTGTGGGGTGGAGCACTGGAGAGGAGGGAGCCATGCAATGGAAGAGAGCCAGAGTGGAGAGATCTTGCTCAATAAGAGGCCATTCTATAAAAATAAAAACCCCAGTAAGGCCATGCCTTAGAAGTGGGGCAGAATTAATCCCAGAACAAAGCTGATGCTAGAGCCACCCTTAGCAAGCCTCAAAAGAATCAAAGTCAAAATAACTGCCTTGCAGAAAAAACAAACCCAACATTCTTGAAAAGAGTACGAAAAATTAAAAATCCAGCATGCAGTAACAAAGTTTACAACATCCAGCATCCAACAAAAATTATAAGACATTCAAAGAATTAGACAAAGAATCGAGAAACTCATAAATAGGAAAAAAATAATTGATTAGAAAATCACCTAGAAATGAGAGCAATGACAGAAACAGCAGAAAGGGCCTTAAACGTCTATGATAAATTTTGTTCCACATGTTCGGCGGTCTAAAGGAAAAATGTAAACATAATGAGAGACATGGAGGATCTAAGAAAGAATTCAGTGGGACTTCTGAAGAAAATGGAAATTTTGCCAACTGGATTAGTGGTCGGTAAGACACTGCAGGAGGAAAGGTCAGTGAACTTGAAGGCATAGCAGTAGGATCTATCCAAAATGAATAGAGAAAAAGACCGGGGGGAAAAAAATGAAAGGAGCCCCAGTGACCTATGGGACAACATCAGTCTAATACATGCATAAGTGGAATTCCAGAAGGAGAGGAGAGAAGTGGAGGAACAGAAAATATTTTAAAGAAATAATGGCCAAAATTTTTTCAAATCTGATGAAAGCTAAAAACCCAGAGATACAAGAAGCTTAATAAACTCCAAAGAGTAAACACACACACACACACACACAACCACACGAAAGCACATCATAGGTAAGTTTCCTGAAACCAGTAATAAAGAGAAAACAGAAGCAGACACAGGGAGTTTGGGGACATATTTCATAGTCTTCTTATCTGAAACTAGGCAAGGCAGAAGACAAAGGAAGGACCTATCTCTTTAGAGTGTGGAAAGAAAAAAAAAGTCAACCAAGAATTTTGTATTTAGCAACTTTATCCTTAAAAATGAAGGTGAAGTAAAAACCTTTTTAGTAACAGAGAATTTATTGCTAGCAGACCTGCACTGTAGGGGTGAGTGCTGGAGATGGCGGACATGCAGGTAAATACAAAAGATTTTGCTCTCAACATTTTAAAATATATTGTTGAGAGGAAGACAACATTTTGCAGCTTGGAGCATGGTGGAAGTAAAAGACTGACATCGGTAGTCAGAACTGAGGGGAAGTAGAGGCAAGTCTTCCCTTAGATAAAGGGATACCGTGATGAGCATATTGTTAATCTCTAGATCCCCTAAAAAAATTAAACCAAAGAAGTATAACCAATGAGCCAACAGGCAAGGTAAAACAGGATCTTAAGAATAATCCAGAAGTAGGCAGGAAAAGAGAAAAAGGTAACAAGATTAGATGGAACATAGAAAACAAGTTGCAATGTGGTAGATTTAAACCAATCACATAAATCATTATGTTAAAATATGGTCTGGTCCCTACAGTGAAAACCAAGGCTGTGAGCCTGGGCTTAAAGCAGACCCGACCTTGAGGAAGGGGTGGTGGGGAGATTGTGGGAGGATCTGAGCTCTCCTAGTCAGGCCCCCAGGAGCTGGTGGCTGCTATGGCTTTGGATCGCCATTCCCCAGAACCCCAAGTCGAGGGCCTTTCAATGCACTTCCCAAGTCCCAGTGCAGCTCAGAACTTCCTGTGTCTAACACACCTATGCTCTCTGTGGATGGCTGTCTCCCTCTGGATGGAAGGAGCTGCGGGTAGGGCGGGGGCGTGTCCTGTTCACTGCGTGTGCCAAGGGTTAGAGCTGTGCCTGGTTCCCAGATGTGCTCATATGTATTGTGAATGGGACCCAGAGTCACAGAGTGTGAGCAAGAAAGGTCCTAAGAGGCGAGCAAGGCCACATCACCACTTAGTGCAGAGCTGACTCCATCTCTCACAAGCCTGTGAGGACCGTGCTGTCCAGGGAAGGGGCTAATGCCACCCGAAGGGTCCAGAGCCAGGTTGTCAGGGTTCCAGAACTCCTGTGCCTCAGCTCCCTGCTGCACGGACTCAGACAAGTTGTTCAGCCTTTCTGCCTCAGTTTCCTAATTTGTCACATGGCAGGAACAGGTGGTCAAAACAAACCTCTGTGGGGTGAGCTGGACTTTGTGGAAACACTTCGGAGGTCAGGGACAGAGGGCAGAAACTTACACGTGGTGGCAGACACCTCCTTCCCAGACTGGCAGGGACTTTGTCTCCGAGAACAGGCGCGTGCAGGGCTGGGGCTGCTTTTTACAGGCTGCAGAGCACAAAAGAGGCCGAGGCTCACCGCGGCTCGGGCCCTGGCTGCCCTTGCCAGCACCCTTGGGAGACGCACACCCGGGCTGGGGTCCTTGGAGCCTGCAGGCTAGTTCCCCTCAGGGCTCACTCCAAAAGTCTTCTGAGGGAGGCCTGTGGCCCTTTTCCCTCCCACCACCTTTGGCCCCTGAGCCAAAAATAGCCCCCTCACCCACCTCTCACTGTGGGGGTGGCTGTCGCTCTGTGTTCCTTACTTTCTGGCTGTTCCCAGACCCCCCACTTACCCAGGCAGCACCTTTTGGCCTGGCACTCTGGGGCTGTGAGCAGCCCAGTGATTCATTGCCTGCCACCTCCGTGCCTGGACACCTGGAAGTCTGGGCACTTCATGGCAAACCCATCCTGACCCAGCAGTCTCAGCCCAGCCTGCTGTAACAGGCATCTCAAGGCCAGGCCTGAACGGGCCCTGACTTACCAAGCTCGCAGCGCCTGCCTTTGAACCCTGGGCTGCAGTCACAGCTGTGGGTGTCCACGCCTGGCACGCAGGTGCCTCCGTTCTGACAGGGGTTTTCTGTACAGTTCCCAGGGGTGTCTGCAAACAGGTCATAAGTGGTTAGTCTCTAGGACCCCAGAGGAAGGCCTGCTGGCATTGCCACATTGTGGTCCCGTTTCAGGTGGTCAGAGAGATGCTTGGCTCTGACCCCATTTCCTTGAGGGCCAGGGTCCAAACTGTGCTTCTGCTGGGATCCTCAGTGCTGAGCCCTCCGTGATGGAGGAGCCTCGAATCACTGCTTAGATTATGGTCGGGCACTGGTGGTCTCAGGAGAGACTCCTGGTTCTGCCCTAGCCTGTGCTTCCACCCTCTTCTCTCCGGATGGAGGACTGTGCTGGGGACAGTCTAGGCCAGCCGTGGGCAAACTGTGGCCCACGGGCTGGACCCAGCCCGTTTGAAATGAATAAAACTAAAAAAAAAAAAAAAAAAAAGACCGTACCCTTTTATGGTATGATGTTTACTTTGAATTTATATTAGTTCACACAAACACTCCATCCATGCTTTTGTTCCGGCCTTCCAGTCCAGTTTAAGAACCCATTGTGGCCCCTCGAGTCAAAAAGTTTGCCCACCCCTGGTCCAGGCCCTGCTGGCCCTGTTCGCGGAGCCTGGGTCTGCCAGGTGGTGCGCCAGCTGGGCCATGCTCAGTGCTGCCCCTCTGTGGATTCCTGCTTTTTCTCAAGATGTTCCTCTGCAGGGAGGCAGTGGGAGGGCTGCCGTATGTGGTGAGGGCAGGGGCAGGAGGGACAGGGGTACATCCAGACAGATCTGGATAGTTGGTCTGTAAAAGGTCGTGGTGCCAAGTGCCTCCTTTCCGGGGTGGGGCATCTGGCTGCCCCTGGGGTAGGCTCAGTGC